GTGTGTATTGCCTGCATGTAGGTAAGTGCACCCATGTCATGCAATGCCTGAGGAGGTCAGAAGAGGCTGTCAGATCCCCTGGAACTGACATGTGGGTGTGGGATTTGAACTCGGGTCTTGTGCAAGAACAACCAGTGTTCTTAACTGCTGAGCCATCTCTCCAGCCCCTCAGCACTAATTTTTAATCTTCTCTTCTTTCACCCCTTCTTTTCCCATCTCCTCCCCCTTTTGGGGGGATAGGGCTATAAGCCAGGTTGACCTCGAACTCTCTATGTAGCCAAGGATGACTTGAATTCCTGATTCTCTGCCTCTACCTCAAAAGTCCTGGGATTAGCAAGGAGTAGTGGTACATGCCTTTAATCCTAGCACTCAGGAGGCAGAGGGGAGGATCTCTGAAAGTTTGAGGCCAGCCTGGTTTACATACAGTGAGTGCCAGGCCAGCCAGGGCTACATAGTGAGACCTTGTCTGAAAGACCAATAGTGCGGGCTGTGCGATGGCTCAGCAGTTATGAGCACTGGCTGCTCCTTCAGACCTGGGTTCAAATCACAGCCCTCAATGGCAGCTAACAACCGTCTGTAACTCCAATTCCAGGGGATCTGACGCCCTCTTCTGTCCTCCAAGGGTACTTCATGACATGAATGCACTTACACATGCAGGCATAACACTCCTCCATACACATAAAATTATTTTTTTAAAAAAGTACTGGGGGGGGCTGGAGAGATGGCTCAGCGGTTAAGAACACTGGTTGTTCTTGCAGAAGACCTGGGTTCAAATCCCAGCACCCACATGGCAGCTAACAACTGTCTGTAACTGAAGTCACAGGGGATCTGACAGCCTCGCCTGTCCTCTGCAGGCATTGCACGACAAGGGTGCACTTACCTACATACAGGCAATACATACATACACGTAAAAATAATAAAAAAATTTTTAAGTACTGGGATTATAGTTATGTGCCACTGCACTCACAGGGAATCATTTCTTGTGGGCACTTAATTTGTTCTGGTACTTTTCATATTATTTTACAGAGCAAGGCTACCTGTATAAAACAAATTTAAGGCCAGGCATGGTGGTGCATGATTTTAATCCCAGCACTCAGGAGGCAGAGGCAAGTGGATCTCTGTGAGATTGAGGACAGCCTGGTCTCCATAGTGAGTTCCAGGCCAGCTAGGGCTGCAGGGAGACCCTGTCTCAAAGAAAAACAGAAAAAAAATTTAAAAAAAGAGATGAGGCAAGTGCAGCAAGAACTGGAATCGAGACTGTGTAGAGGCTGAGAGGTGGAGGAAGGCAATTGTGCTCTTTACCTACCCACCCGATGGCACCCCACCAATGCTGCTGTGTCCTACAACTCTACGTGGCCCCTCTCTGTGCCCAGCTTCTCATGGGCCTCATTCCTGCACCCTAAATTCACAGGAGACATTCCCACCAAGAGGGAAGGGACTGACACTAGCTAGTTCCTCAAGCTTCACCAGAAGGTCTCTAGTTTCTCCGAACGGGGGCTAAAACGAGGTACTTCTGTGAGTAACCATGAGTTCAGGTAAAATTGACCACAGTGTCAGCCTTCATCTCCTGGGGGTTTGGGACTGGGCCTCAGGCTGATCTCCAGCAACCACCTTCCAGCTTGCCTCTACCAAGTTTCAAGGGAAGTAGGTGTCTCTGCCCCAGGTGTGGGAGATGAAGGTCCTCAGCCACCCTCAAGGACTTCATCTGGGCCCAGAAGGCCCAAGGCAATGAATATCCCTAAAGACCCTTAAACACTAAGATCCCAGGGTCAAGTAGTCTTGACATCAGATCAGGTCTCTGAGGGGAGAGACCCTGAGACCCAGGTAGGGGCACCAGTGCCTGCCAGCACTAGACAAAGTTGGCTCATGAGAAAGTCAATTGGCTGATGGGTTCCAGAGAAGGACCCAGGAATCCCTGCCTGGAACTGTTCCAGGTTTGGCATTGAATTTTCTCCAAAGACGCAAGGAAATCGGTGGTGAGGGGCAGGTGGCTTGGGCCCCACGGTTCACTTGTCCCCAGCTTTGTAACTGCTCCAGGAGACCCAACTCTGTAGCCCCACACTCCCCTGCCACTCTTGTGCCTGCAGCCCCATCAGTTCCTCCAAGTGGCAGCCGAAGTGAGCTCTCTCCGTCAGCTCAGAGAGCAGGTGCCCTAGCCAGGGCAGGCATTCCTGAGACTGGAAGCCTGTTCTACTCATGAGCCAATGCTCTTAACCTTAACTGCTGAGCCATCTCTCCAATCCTTTTTTTTAAGATAGGGTCTCACTGTATGTAGCCTTGGCTGGCCTGGAACTCCCTATTAGACCAGCTAACCTCAAGCTTACAGAGATCCACCTACCTCTGCTTCCTGAGTGTGAAGATTAAAGGCATGTACCACCATGACCTGTTCCTAAATTGCTTTTGTCAGGGTATTTTGTCACAGCAACTGGAAGTGAAACTAAGACACGGTTTCATGTGGCACCTCCGCAGACATGGAGGCAGCATGACTGGTTCTCTTGAGAGGACACTGGCTAAGAGGAAGCTAAATGCCATGATGGCCAGGGACAGGAGCAGAGGGACCTTTGAGTTGTGAGCACAGGGAGCCACCAGGATTGAGTTTTCATCTTGGTCTTTGCTGGCCCAAGATAATGCCAGCCAGAGTAAGAAGAAGCAGACCATTGCCAGTATCCTCCAGTCTCCAGGCATAGGGTCAACACCTTGTGGGGCTGACAATGATCAGCCACCACTTTGGTCCTGGCTCCTGCTCTAGTATGGCTAAGTGATTTCTCTCAGATCACCACGGAGTAGGTATCCTAGTTCCTCATGCCTGGTGAATTCCAGCTTATGTCAGGCCCTGCCTCCCCTCCCCCATGCTGCTACAGGTACTTCCTGGGGTACTTAGCTTTGGGTAGGTGAGCCAGGGTCTTCTTGTGAAGCATCTGGGGTCACACCCTCTAGGCACCAGGCACCTAACCCCTATGTGTTTGTCTTTGCTTGTCCTTTGCACAGCACGTGTTCCAGCGGGGAGTGGCTCTCATCAAGAGGGAGTGGCGACATGATCATCCTGGAATCTCATTTTTGGTTTTCCCAGTCACATTCTCTCTGCCCCAAAGCCTATTAGCTGGCCTACCTCCAGCTCATGGGGCCCCATAGGCAGTATTGGACCAGGGAGGAGCAGCCAGTACAGCATTCATCACTCATCCTAGCATGGGAGCCACAGCTCCTCAGCGCCTTGGCCTGCATCTCTGCCATCCTTTGAAGCCACCACATGACACCTCCACTGGCCAGTACACAATGTACATATAGTGTCACATATACAGTCACACACATAGTGTCAAAGTCACATAGTGTCACACAGTCATATACACAGCCATGCAATGTCACATCCTCATACACATAGTTGGCACATACTATAGTGTCATAGTAACATAGTATCACACAGACATGCAACATAGGCACATAGTCATAAAGTGTCACACAGTCATATCACAGACATAGTCAGTGTCACATACAGTCATATACAGTGTCATAGACTCAGGCACATGATCACACAATATCAGTTACATATAGTCACACAGTGTCAACTACTGTCATATACACAGCCACATACTGTATCAGTCATACACGATATCATACTATCACAAATACAGTCACACAGTGTCAAGTATGTATTCACACACAGACACATACACAACGATTTCCTTTTCCTGCCATGCCTAATGCTGCCGGGGGCCCTCTCTTGCTCAACAAAGAGCAAACCAGTCATCACATGTGTGCACTGTGCTTGTGTATGACACATGTGCCCAATCAAACATGTGCACATGTGCATGCACCTGGCCCAGAGCAGCTGGCCTGCTAACCCTGTACTATCACTACGCAAAGGCACTGGGGAGGACTGGCCAGGTCTGGAGCTTCCTGGTGGGGCTCAAGCATCTCGGCCCTTCCCAGGTTCTTCCTGCCTCCCCCAGCTGCATGCATGGCAGTACACCTGGCGCTGTAGGAACTCTGCCTGGGAGGCTCTACAATGATCTAGGGAAGACTTCCCTGCTTTGGACACTAGGAACCTGTTTGTACCTCATGCAACAGAGGTGTCCCCCTCCACAGTGCACCTTAGCCAGGGCTGTAGGAAGACAATAGGAGCTGTTTTTCTGGAGGTGCCTGCCCTGGCTCTGAACAAAGGCTCTGAGCACCAAGTTGCCCCAGCCAACTGACCAGAGGTGACCACTTCTGACAGAGCCTGTCATTGGGACACTTCTTGACTAATGTTCTGAAAAGTGACTCACAAAGACTAGGTGGCAGGGGCTGCAGTTAGAGACGTGTTTCTGACTCAGAGAGGAAATGGTGCCTGGGCCTCTGGTGGCAGTTCTAAAACCCTGATCCAAGCCTGTGGCTTCTGCTACTACTTCCTGAGATCCTTTGAGGGCTGTGGCCCAAAGGCACAGAGAAAGCTGAACCCAGGGAGGAGTTGTGATAAGGAATGGAGGATGAAGGAGCAAGATAGGTGCGTAGCACTCAGGCATGCAGCCCTGCCCTACCTCCTAGGGGTATGGTAGTGTTCAAGGAAGTGAGGGACTCACAGAGATGAGGTAGCAGACAAGGAGGGATGCAGCCTGCTGTGGCTATCTGGGCCCTGGGTCGAATTCCACAAACCTCCAGGACAAAGTGGGTAACCAACCTTCCTTAGAGGGGGTGTTGCTTGCTCTCCCAGAACTTCTCCTACCATCCCCTGCAGTGGGCAAGCCCAGCAGACTCATGCCTGCACAACCTCCCAGTGATTCCATCATCAGAATTTCCAGAAGATTCCAATGTGGCTCTCACCAAGGCCACATGGCTGACAGTCCCCACCCACCCTGGAAGGCGACCCTGAGATCCAGACACTGCACACACCAGGACCCTGTGAGCTCATGAATACAGCAATCAGTGATGATGACAAGACACTGGGGCTCGTGATAACCAAACCCAAAATCTATCCAAACTTGTCTCCAGCCCCAGGGTGTCCCAACCTCCACACCTGTCCCTACACTCATATGTCCTCTGAGCCTGCCACTGATGTTGCCCAATCAGTGAGAGGCTTCAGCTGGGTTCATGATCAAGGTCTGGCTGACTCTGGATGGGGGATACCCCAGACTTGGTGTTCTTCAGATCCAGGTCTTGTCAGCTCCCTGATTTGCTGGTCCTTCAGCTGTACCAGATGCTCCAGCTTCATCACCTTCATCTGCAAAATCTTCAGAAAGTGCACAGGTCTGAGAATATCCAAAGAAGCCCCTTCATCTGTCAGGGCCAGGCCACAGACCAGTTTCAACCTCTAGGGATGAACATCCAACTAGCCCTACTGCAGGGTCTCATGGCTGGGGGTAGGACTAAAGGCCCTCTGTGGGGACACTGGGAAACACCTTTGGGGAAGACTCCATAGAAAATGAGCTTAAGGTAACCAAGGGGCTGGCAGGCCATGGTGAGGGGTTTTCTTCTCCTGCTCCCCGTTAGGATCTCCCTGGCCTCCCTGCTTTTCCCCTCTGCACAGCTAGAAGAGCTAGATGTAGGGCAAGGGCAGGGAACATTCATTGCTGTGAGCCCAGAACCTAATCCTGGCAGATACTCAGGGGACATCTGATGAACCAGCAGTTACTGATGGGTATATGGCTGTTGGACTGTCTCTTCAACATGTACTTCTGAAAGTTGGTGACTCAAGAATAAATGAAAGAAGACAAGGCTGCGAAAGCCAGGCATGGTGGCACACACCCATAATCTCCGTCCTGGGGAGGCAAAGGCAGGAGGAGAACTGAAAGCTCAAGGTAGCCCGGTTATTTAGTAAAACCAAATCTTACAAAACAGAAAAGGAAAATAAAAGGTTTCAGAAAGAGTTGCCTGAGTTTCCCAGTTACAGGTCTGCCTCAGGCACAGCAGCCATAGGGGCATTGGTTATGCCTGTTTCAAGGATGACCTCATCCTAAACCTTCCTCCACCGGAAACAGACTCCATCATGCTCCTCAGGCAGAAAAACCTGGTTTGCCCAATCCTGTGCAATGTGAAGGAGGGCAGGCTGCAAGATGGAGAGCTGGACTTACAGCAGACCAAGCAAGACAAGGTCCCTCCCTGAGCCTGAGGGGGTGTGTCACTGTGTCCATGGCCAGCACACAAAGTCCATATCCTGGGTACCTTTCCAGTATGCTTCATGAAGTGACAAACTGAAAGGCCAGGGGGCTGTGACTCCATGTGGCCCAGTCACATGCGCCAGTGTACTGTCCACCACCATGTATTTCTATGATGGCTTCTGGTATCTCTTCAACCCCAAAGTGCATATCTTACTCAGTGACAATTTCGCAAGTGGCACTCATTGTGTCAGACCTTAAATGGCAAGTTGAGCTGTTTTGTCTCTGGGTCTCCAATGAGAGAGTTACAGTTCACTTGGTCAGCATGTAGCCAGGACCACAGTGGGGGACAGCTGGGTTGTGAATAACCAGGGCAGAGATACAGTGTCAGTTCTCCTTATGGCTTCCTCTTTACTTCTGCTCAGTGAGTCCGAAGCCACAGTGATATCACATCACTTTCCTGTTTTCTCAAGACGATAACTCATGAAGATTTGGGTACCCACTCAGGAACTGTGACACACTGCTGCTATTTCTGATAGTCCCTGTGACGCTGAGGTACAATTTGCTCACCATCCCTTACTGTCTCCAGTCTTATGCTACCAGGGTACGGGTGGTAAGGAATACTGGAGATCCCTGGTAGAGCAGCAGGACAGGTACATGCCTGCAGAACCAAACTTATTTCAGAAAGTCAGCATGCACCACAAAATCAGGCATGCACTACAAAACCAGGTGTGCATTACAGAACTAAGCATGTACCCAGAGCCAGGAAAACTCTCAGAGAGCCAGGAATGCAGCTGCAGAACCAGATATGTATCTGTAGAACAAGGCATGAGCCCACAGAATCAGACATACACCACAAAATCAGGTATGCACTCCAAAACCAGACCTACACTGCAGAATCAGGCATGTACCACAGAGCCATACGGGCACTGCAGAGCTAAATATGCTCCACAGAGCCAGGTATGGTGTGTATTGTACATCTAAATGTTCACAAGGATCTCTAGGTGGTACAATGTTTCCAGGGCCCTGGCCTTAGGGAACAGGGAGGAAGTAGAGGCCCAGCTCAGGTTGGTGGCTGGGGGCGAGAGGACAGGGAGGAAACTCTCCAGGAGCATTCCACTCTATCTACTTCCCAGGTGGTCACCCAACGAAGAGCCCTTCTGCTCCCTGAGATCCTGAGATGGGCCACAATCCACACTACTAGTCCATACTCCTGTGCTGCAGGTGCCTGGTTTGCAGTCCTACCACTTGGGACTGGTATGGACAGACTGCCAAAGCTAGTGGAGTACCCTGGGGCTCCAGAATCTTCTTTCCTGCCTCTGGGTAGGATTGGAATGTCCCATAGACTGTTTTCCAAATAATGTGGATTCCCTCTGGTCAGGGCCCTGTCTGCTACATATCCCACACTGGAACAGACCCAATTCTGCAGAAACTCGGCTAAGGAATGTGAAACTAGGGCAGCAAATCACTCTGCACCTTTTTGTCTTGTAGTTCAGGGTGTCCAGGTAGCAGGAATACCCAGCAGGGCTATACCTTGACTGTCTCCTGCAGAATGGCCAGTGCCTGCTCTTTGTCCTCCAGCTCCTGTTGGACTCTGGCCAGGTTATCCCAGGGGCCTTCAGCTGGGTTCCAGCTGAAAGGCAGACACTGGATTTTAAGCCTGGCTGGGGAGCACAGGGAGGAAGGCAGGGAGAGTTTGAGAGATAAGGGCCTACCTTCCACAAGCACAGCAGTTCATTTTCTCCAAAGCCTTTTGATTCTGAAGGGTCTTCATGCTGAAGGGAGGTGAAGGGCTCTGCAGGCCTGTATGACAAACACACACCATAGCTCAGGGCCTTGCCTCTGACAGGCACCCACTAGTGACAGCACACAAGCATGGGTGGGGGCCCTGGTTTACAGGTAGTCAAGCATACTCAGATATCACCATGCAAGGACTTGGTCTCAGTCTGATATCAGGGCCCTTTGCACAGCCCTGGAAGCCTCTGAATGGAGCCCTTGTTTGGAGACAAAAGGGTTTCCTCACTTAGCTCATGGGCTCCCCCTTGGGTGGTTGCTCTCTGGAGTGTGGATGGATCCTGGGCCCCATCTATGATTCCTGTAAGAGCAAGGGTGCTTTCTTCAGAAGCTCACTAGGCCCACTGGGTCCAGGATGCACCTGAGCACATCTGCCTTCCTCTGAAGGGGTGTGAGCTCACGATCACCATGTGCCCAGCCTTCAGAAACGCAGTGATATTCTTCACAGGAGGCCCACAGGGCCTTTGACAAGCTGAAATTCCCCACATCAGGGGTTTGGATCCTACCGGTGTGTGGGTTGGTGATAAGCCCTGCCCAAGGTCGGACAACATCCACACTGGACAGTCCTGGATTCTGCAGAATATAAAATTTGGGAAGCGAGTTGTAATAGGACTGAACATGCCTGGTCTCCACTCTGGGTGGGGATACTGGGCAAACTGGAGGAAAGGAGAGGGCAGGGCTTGGGATGGTGTGGATGGAGCAATTCTGAAGTGTTTTCACTGCCCCAGGGCAGATGCATCAGGCTGAAAAGGGAACGAGGGGCTGAGAAGGTCCCAGCCAGCAGGGCAGTCAGGAATGAGTCTAGGTGGGGACTGCAGTCTCATGTACGGACTTGACTGTATTCTGGACCACAGGGCCATTCATTTGTTTTATTCTCACATAGATTATCTAACCATGTGCAAATAGGAACAGACACAACAGACTTGCAGGCTGAATTGATGTATAGACACTTACAGCTGTGCCTGTCAAGCCCACTCGAGCAGTGCTAGCCTCCAGCTTCTCCCTCAGTGCACAGAGGATGGACTCGATAGCTCCAGGCCTGTTGGCCACCACCTTTTGTATATCGGCCTCTGAGATACCGAAGTGCAGCTTATAAAAGACTTTCCTACAAAAGAAGCAGGGGCACACTCTCAAAGTAGTACCACCAAGAGCTGAGCCCTCCAGGCAATCCTGCCCTCCAGCCACAGGACAGTGCCTAGCTCAGAGGAGAGAGGCTGACATTTTGCCCTCCATCCCCCAGAATTACATGGCTATCTCGTTCTTGGCCCTAGCTGGCCTGTGTCTTAGGCTATCACAGAACATTTGATGCACTGTGCTGTTAGACCAGGTCCTCTGCACTTGTCTTCATCTTCCTGGTAGCTGCCCTTTGCTCTGTAAGTCCTGTTGGTCCACTTCAACAGTACCTGGAATCTGCAACTAAGCCCTCTCAGCCTCCCTGGCCGTTTTACTCACCCTTGGAAATGTAAGTCCTATCAGACTGTGCCCAGGCTTCCACCTTGCAATGCCCCTAATCCAATCTGGGTCGGTCCTGAGGGCTCCATCACCTGCCCCCACCAGCCTCGGTGTCCATACATGGATCTCCCGGTGCTCTGCTCAATTACCTCAGGGCCCTCCCTGATTTGACCTCCTCTGAAATGCCTGCTCTACTCTGGCTGGTTATTCTTGGCATCCCTTACTACACCCAACATGCAGGTACGGACTTGTCTGAGGCAAGGGGAGGTGGAGTAAAGCCTGACACCATTTATCTCTGGGAGAACCGACCAGTTGATGGGCTATCCTGGCAGGGAGCCCCCAGAAGCCATGGTTGACGGACAGCTTTGTTGAAGTCAAGGAAGCTGGAAACTTGTCCCACAAAGCCGTGAGAGGGCTTCCTTGGGGTCAGCCTAGGAGGGCTGAGTCCCCAACCCTTGCCTGTTGAGAAGGCTCCAGTTGCTCAGCTTCTGGTCTGTGCTGCAGGCGGGGACATAGCTGTGCAAGTCCACCAGCCGAGGATGGAAGTGCTTCACAATCTCGGCCACTAGCACTATGGGTGGGAATGAATGGAGGGCGAGCTTGGCTGGCCAAGCTAAGCCCCTCGGTAGCAGCTGTTACCCACGGCCTCAAGAGGTGCACATGGTGGGGGCGGGGAGGGCGCGGGCCTGCCCTGGAAAGCCCATGTTTGTCCCTGAGAATCCTCCGCATCTAGACCCCTGGACAGACAAAAGCAAGGCGGGGCTTGGAGAGCTCCCACAGCGTGAGAGCCCAGAAGCTGGAAGAGCCACTGGAGGTCGTGTCTGCTACCACCCTTCCTAAGGAGCGCGAGGAGGATTCCGGGACTGCCTCGTCTCTTCCCCCAGATCCCGCAGGGCTGCACGCCAGGGCGGCCCTCTCCTCCTCTGAGCCCTCTACGCCATCCGCCCCGCAGCGCCTCGCCCTCGCTCGCACCACCGTCGCTAAAGTCCCGGGCCAGGTGGCGCTTAGGACGGCTGAGTGGGAGCCCGTCCAGCCAGGCGCAGAGACTGCGTCTGTCCCCCGGCGGCCGCCTGGGCGCTGCGTGGCTCTGCATGGAAGCGCAAAGCACAGCGGAGGCGTCGGTCAGTTGCTAGGAGACGTGACTGAAGGCGCTGAACTAGTCGGGGTAGTAGCCAGGAAGCGAGGCGGAGCCGGAAGGGGCGGGGAACCCGCTGCACTGGTCTCAGGCCGAATTGGCCTTCTCGGCGTCAGCGGACGGGGTGGTAGAATTAAGGCTGTTGGTTAAAACTTTAGTAGAGGGGCTGGGGGTACGTGGCCTGCCCTACAGAAGACCCGGGTTCGAATCCCAGCTCCCACATGGCAGCTAACAACTGTCCTTAACTCCAGTTCCAGGGGATCCAACAGCCTCGTCTGACCTCCGTGGGCATTTCAGGACATGGGTGCACTTACCTACATGCAGGCAATACACGCATACACATTAAAAAAACAAAACAAAACAAAAAAACTGGGAGACGGTAGAGGAAGTAGTTTGAACTAATGTAATAAAAACCTTCTGCCCTTAATCTACTAGTAAAATATAATCTTTATTAAGAAATAGTTTTCAGCGGAAGTTTTCTCCCATTCTGTCCCATCTTCCAAAATGACAGCGACTCCTGGGTCCAGAACCCCAAGAACGATGGCTTTTCCTTCCTAAGTCTCAGACATGGGTCGGATGATGTATACCGGGATCGTTCGGGGATGCTCCGGCAGGGGTCGTGGCATGAGAGCAGGTGCAGAGGTTGCCGGGAGGTTTCTGGCATCCTGTCTACACCGGAAGACGATAGTCTCTGGGACAGGTATATCCCAGCCTAGCCACTGCAAATATATGGCCTAAGCTGGCCAAGGTTGGTCAGAGGACACTGGTTCAGGACAGCTGGACAGCAAGAGGCACAGAAAGATTAATTCTTGGGGTCAGAACAACCTCTGCAGTCAGGGGAGCATGTCCATAGGAGTACTTGGACAAACTTCCACAGGCCCACGATGGCCCTGGGGTGCCTCAGCTGGTCACCTCCTCTGGACAGTGGGCTTCAGAGGAACCTTTGGACCACCAGCCACCTGCCAGGAGGAAACAGGAATTGATGTTTAAAAAAAAAATCTGCTATAAGGTATACCGGCTGAATATTAGCATTTACAATTCTTTAAATTTAGTCTCCATTCCCTAACAGTAGAATCAATTACCCTATCCACACAAGATGGCTGCACTGTCACTGCTAACACTATGTATAGGGCATATTTTCTCGCTGTCATAGGGAAAGGCAAAATTGACAGCCCATGGAAGCAGCAATCACTGAAAAGTCCTGACATTATAAGGCAGACATCAAGCCCGTCACTGAGGACTTTTTCATTTTCTCTTCAAGTATCACCAAAGTTTATTAGCCATGATTTAAAGAAACCATACACATAACACACTCCAGAGCAGTGCCACAGTCGGCAGGATGGAGCAGGAAGGTTCCTGTACAGATGTGCTCCTTCCCTATGGGGGCTTACCTGAGTCACTCCAGGCATGACTCCTCCAGTCCCAGGCTGGACTGGTGGTATCAGGGGTGTGAAGGTTGGCTTGATCTGTGAAGAAACAGGCACAGCTGATGGAGGGCGCCTCTTAAGGAGCCAGGTACCGCCCCTGGCTTTGTCCCCCTTAAGGCATCTTCTCCACTCCAGTCTAGCTGCAGGCTTCTGTCTTTACTCACCTCTGTAGGAAAGCCCTCCATTGGCTGTGAAGATAAAGCCTGAACCTGCCGGAGTTCTCGATCCTGGGCTAGCTGTCCCAACCCATCTTGTAGCCTCACCTGTACCACTCAACATTACCCTAAGGGCCCCTAAGTTGTCTTTAGCAGCTCAAAACCCAAGATTTAACTGCTAAAACACATTTTCTTTTTTTGCATTTCCACATTCCTAGAGAGGAAGGTAGGTTTCAGCATTATCTTGAAGGCTCCACTGAGTGATTTCTTCCTGGACAAGGTACAGTCTTGGCTGCAGCCTAGGCCCTGGTCTTCCTCTCGCCTAGCTTTTCCTCAACCATGCCGGAAACCTCTACTCCCCAGCCCCATTCTGCCTGTTAGGACTGCTCCTAGGATGAGTTTTGTACTCTTATGTAAGTCTAAAATTAGTCCAAACTAAAAAGCTAAAGAGGAAAAGAGAAAATCACTTGTGCCTGGTGTGGTAGCTCACACCTGTAATCCCAACACTCAGGAGGCTGAAGCAGGAGCACTGCCACAAGTTTAAGGCCAGCCTGGGCTGCATAATGAATTCCGTATCAATCTGGGGACAGAGTAAGACCCTGTTTAAAATCTAAAGCAAAGCCGGATATGCAAAAAGAAAACAGGGGCTTGTGAGATGACTTAGCAGGTAAAGGTAACTGTGCAAGCTTGGCAACTCAAGTTCAAACCTCACAACTCATGTAAAGATGAAAGGAGAGAATCAACCTTACAGTTGTCCTCTGACTCTTACATGTGTAACCTTGGGACACATGCTCCCCACGGAGAATAATACACAAGGACCAGTGAGATGGTTCACTGAGTAAAGGCACTTTCTGTGCAAGCCTGGCAACTTGAGTTTGATCCTCAGAACCCATGTAAAGGTAGAAGGAGAGAACTGACCCCACACAGTTGCCCTCTGACCTCTACATGTGCAACATGTTATACATACCCATACATATAATATACGCACAATACAAACAAAAAACAAAAATAAGGAAAATAAAATCCTATTGCAAAATGCAGTGACAACTGTTAGAGGCCAAGTGTAAAAGTTTCCAGACATAAGGATTGCAAGAGTCTCCAGGTGATCTCCCAGGCATCCATACATTCATCACAAAGATAGCGCCCCAGGAGAAACCAGAGATAGTTTAGCCCCTGGGCCAGCCTTCATCCCATTTTGGATGCTTTCATGCTATTCCTGCCAAAAATTCATCATCTACATCCACTTACGAGACAATGATAAGGAGTAGACAGACATAAACTGAAAGAAACTTAACTGTGAATCAGCACACTTCCAAAGTGAAAACTGGGGACTTAAAGCCACTCGAGAGCCACAGGTGGCCCAGGAGAAGAGCAGGTGGGGTCCAACTCTCATATGCTACTTGAGCCATGGGAGGCTGTGAGGAGATGCAGAGACTCCGTGCTATCTCTGAAACTTTTCTGTCAATCTAAAATTTGTTTAAAATTAAACCTAAACAATCCCTAGGGTAGAACAAGGCACAGGTATTCACCCTTTAGGCTCCACTCAAGCTGCCCTTGGGGAATCTTCCTAGAGTTTACCACTTTGTGGCCCTTCTCAGCTCCCTACGTGTTCACTAAAAGCCCCCTCATCCCCACCACAAGGGTGAACAGAGGCCTGCCCAGGAGGGTGACCAGCATCACTAGATGGGCAGCTGACCTGTGCAGTTGGGGGCTCTACCAAAGCTCAGGAATCAGGGCCTGTCCTGCTATCTTGAATTTTTCCCTCGTAAGAGCACATAGGTTCTCCACCAGCCCAGCCATGGCCCCAGAGTAGCTACCAGGACTGAGAGAAGGGGCTCCAGTTCACCCAGACATAGGGAGCTCTGCTAGGAAGGGTTCCAACACTGCAACAGGGGAGGACTGGATTAACCTCTACTTCTTCCAAGGCTTCTTCTCAGCGGCATTTTGAGATTCTTAAAACCCCCAAAGCCTCTTCTCGAGAGAAAAGGGTTGGATGGCTGGTCCCTTGAGCAAAGGGCCATAGGCCTGCAGGACGAGTGGGCCTCCTTAGGGTGAAGGCTGTCCTCTTACCTGCTTGGGTTTCAGCTTTGGGAGGGGCTTGGTGGGTGGAACAGGTCTGTGCTGTTGGGGAAAAAGACAGAGTCAGAACCCATAAACCAGATTAGCTCAAGGCTGAAGGGCAGGGTTATACCTTCTCCCTCCTAGGCTTCCTGAACTTACCCCTAGGTTCAAATGAATGTCTTAACCCACTTCTCTCTTCAGTAGCTGCTTCCTTAGGGCTCTAGGCCCACAGGGTCAGCCACCAGATCCCACCTCCTAAAGGCTTCCATGCCTCCAGAACACATATGGCTGCCTCCCCAAGGCTTACCAGGTCTGGCACCTGCTGAGCATAGACCGGAACTGGGAGGGGTGGACTGGACATCATAGCTGGAGGCTTCAGGGAACAGAACTGTGAGCTTGGGCCCAAGCATCAGGTCTAAGCCCCCACTCCATACCCAGAAGGTCCATAGCTTTCAGGATCAACATGACACCTCACTTCACTGCCCACCCCAATCCTAGATGCATGACTGTCCCTTTCCCTAGCCATTCTGTCACCTATCAGACCTAAGGAACAATATAGGTGTCTTTCTCTTATGACCCAGATCTGAGAGCCTCTCAAAGCCACAAGTTTAGGTTCAAACTCCAAACATAGGTCCTTAGAGGACAACTCTTTTTTTTTTAATTAAAAAAATTTTTTTTGTTATTTTTGTTTTATGTGTATGCATGTATTGCCTGCATGTATGTAAGTGCACCTGTGTCGTGCAATGCACAAAGAACAGATGAAGCCATCAGAACTGGAGTTTCCGACAGTTGTTAGCTGCCGTGTGGGTGCTAGGATTCAACCCCGGGTCTTCTGCAAGAACAGTTAGTGCTCTTAACTACAGAGCCAAATTTCCAGCCCCTACAGAACAGCTCTTAACTCAGTCCCTGACTTCCTGATGGACTGATCATAACAGTCTCTCTGCCTCAGGCCACTGCAGAGCACATGAGTTAATTTATATAAAAAGGCTTCCCAGTGGGTCACACCTTGAGACAGAAAGATGGGGAGCTTGAGTTCCCCTAATTTCAGCCCTATGAACCTGTCAGAGGACAGTGCTTACTGGAGGGGGAGGCCTCTTTGGTGTCACTGTGGGTCTTGAGGGCTGGCTGGTAGAGACCAGTTCTGGAGGTGCTGGAAACCTGTCCTTGACTGGCAGGCTCCTGTCCCCCATGTAGAACAGGGGGTTGGAGCGCCCTGTGGTAGGCTTAGGTGCTACATTCCTGGGGAGAAAAAGAGGAGACAGACAATGAATGTTGTACTCTGTTCCAGCTAGAGAATCCAGGGCTTCTGGGCATGGTCCCCCCAACTTGGGCTGGGGTCTATTCTATATGCATCTTACACATGATACAAGCTGTGCACAGGCACATGTGTGAGCCCAGGAGGCCAAGAAGCAGGTCCCCTTGATAGCTATAGGATAGTGCTTGGAGGCCCTGGGTAAGTCTGTCCTTTTCCAGACAGCTTAGGGGCCAAGGTCTTGGCTTAGGGCACAGTGGGAGCCTAATGTGGTGCATGTGGCCATGGCCAGGGGTGGGGAGGCTGTCTCAACTCTGATTTACCATACCCTAACCTGTCATCCACAGTCCCATTTACAGTCTCTGAGAAGAAGCACCCAGAGCACAGATCCCAGGAACCTCCTGAGCTTCCCACCCACGCCTGCCCAAACCCCGGGGAGCCCCAAGTCCCCTTGAGTGCCTCTGCCTGAACCTGCTGTGTGAAGCAGTGTGTTTTCTTTCTCAAGTAGCATCAAAGCCATTTCCCAAGTGCTTAGTACAGGAAGTGCTTCACATGTAGACATTTTGCAACCAGAATGTCCTCACCTTCTCTGGACTTGGCTCTGAGCCTTGCGGTAGATGATGACACCTGCTAGGGTGACCACTGAGGCCACCAGGATCACCAAGGCCACCAGCATGCCGACTGAGAGACTCCCAGATACTGTGAGACACATGGCCATATATGGTCAGCAAAGACTGGGGACTAGCTGAGCCGAGGGCTGAGGAGGGCTCTAGGGGAGATACAGCCTTCTCAGCCTCCCTTGACCAAGTCCTGGGTCACACACATCTCACATATTATCAAGTGCCTGAAGGCCTCCCAGCAGAGGGCCAAGTACATTATACCAGCTCTCCTGGTTCTCTGACAACAGGTTGGAAGATGTGGTAGTTGTAGGCTCCAGGCCCACAGTGCCACTGTTGTAGCTTAGCCAGTCCACTGAGGTCATGGTGCTGTGGACAGCTGCAGGCTCAGTGGCCACTGGAGAGGAAGACTAGACACAGAGTGGGTGTAGTGGCCCTAAGTGCCTGAGCCAAGGAGGGGCCAGAAAGCCTTACTTTGAGCAGGATACTGCCCTGTGTCACCTCTGGGAGGTAGAGATATGGGATCCCTCCTAACTACCCTCAGAGCTTGTGTCCCACACACACCAGCTCTTGTAGTTCCCAGGCCCTTACCTGTACGCACATCTGTCAGTAGCTCTGCACAATGAGGTGGGGCCCAGCCTGCGTGGCAGTGACATTCCCTCTTGTGATTGCATACCTGCAGGGAGGGCTGGACCTCAGGGACAGGCACCCCGCAGGGCAGCAGGCTAGGCTGCAGCACACGTAGGGCTCCCTACATCCCATCCACATATGTCAACATTGGGCTTACCAGGGACTCTCCTTAGTGACCTCACTGCCTAGTGGCCACAGCCTCATTGAACATTACCTGTTCTACATAAGCCCCAGCAGGGCCTTGTCAAGACTTCTACCAGCAGGATATAGGCTAGGCTGAGCCTCCATTGCTACATCCACAGCTGCCTCTGCCACAGGCTCCATCAGACAGGCAGGTGATGGCAGCCACCTGGCTCTGGGACACCAAGACCATGGTACACCATCCCAAGGTCATACATACCCCATGATTATGGCACTTAGCAGAGCAGTTCTCAGATCTGTAGATATGAAGGTCCTGGCAGTGCCCATTCCAGCAAACCTGGAGGATGTAGGGGGCTCCTGGGAAGTTGGTCTGGATCTAAACCCCCTATTCCACTATCCTCAAACCCAAAAGCAAGTTCAGGACAGACAGTGTATTCTCATTCCCTGATGTCCATGCCACACCTGGGGAGGCCTCAGTCATGATGGAAGTGCTGGGATGACTGACCCTGTGACCCAGGAGACACTTTGGGTGGGGAGGTCTTTAAACTACTAATTGGTAACAGGTGTCTCTATTTGCCCAGCTACCTTCCCCGTTTCTACTAGAGGCATACAGAGGCTGTATCTACATGTTTCTACCAGTCAAAACCATCTGTGTAGGATACAGTCAGGGACCCATGTGGGTGCATTTGATCTCCAATACCCCTGGCCAGCTTGTGAGTGCTATTCAGCTCACCTTTCCTTCCCCGCACTTTGTGCCCTGGAGCACCAGCTCATAGGTGTCAGTGTTGCTGTCTGTGAGGAGTGCATGGCACTGTCCTGAGTGGAAGGGGAAGGTGCAGTAGCCACGCTCCTGGGGCCTCTTGCCCCCATTACAGTACAGTACCCCACACTGGTTGAACCTGCAGACAGAGGGTAGGCTGTGGTCTCAGGTGTTTTGGGCATGTCCTCAGGGGCCTGGATGCTGCAGTAGATGGGCCCAGGACCCTCCCTCCCTCAAGGATGATAGGCTCAGGTTAGTGGCCTAAAGAGGACAGACTCTAGGGGAGTCACAACAGGCTTTCTCTGTGGGGAAGTCTCTGTGGACCAGCCTCGCTTTGAGGACATCCCACATCTAGGTCCCAGCAATGTGGCCCTGATGCTTACTTGCCAGAGCGGATACTGCCCTTGCAGCCTGGAGGGATGCTATAGGTAAAGCAGGTATGTGCTGCAACCTGGACACCTGTGGGACCAGGGGAATCAGCCTGGCCAACATCATGGCCACCCCACAAACTGGTCCTCCACCCCATGCTTATTGCTGCCTCACCTGGGCCCCACAGGTCCTGGCACTGCTGGGCCAGGGTGGGGCAGCTTCCATCAAAGCAGTAGCCCCCTGGGCAGGGTGTGCCATTCTCCTGGAAGGCATCTTCAGGGCATGCTGGCTGCTGGCCATCACAGAACTCCTCCAGGTCACACTTGTCCTTCGGGGGACGACACAGCTCGCCAGCTGGCTTTACCTGGTCCCACAGAGAAGCTTGCTGTGGCACAAGCCCACATGATGCCTTCATAGGCATCCTGATGCCCAGGGTTTAGCTAGGGCAGGTCCTGGGTGGGGTCCAGCTCACCTTGCACTCATGACAGCAGGCACCATGTGCACACTCTGCCCCCTTGGCCAGCTGGCAGGTGGTAGCATTGCAACAGGGGTTCCGGCAGACCTGGGAGGATGAGAGTCTTAGCAACTAGACCCTGCCCAGGGCTGGCTCCAGTGGGCTAGCTCTCAGTGACCACTGGGTGAAGGGCTACAACCACACTATCTCCAAGTCCTTTCAGGTTGTTGGGGGGCCCAAAAGGGAATGGGGTGACTTATGTCCCCCAAGGAACCTTTGTGCTGTGGCACACAGGATGCCAGGCTTAAGAGGCCAGTCTAACCACAAGGACATCAGGTTGCTGCCTCTACACTAAAGCTGAAGGTGACTATCAGGAGCAGGATGGGGTGAGACAGACCTGAGGTGCACCACAGTCACATTGCTCTCCATGCTCCACAAATAGGTTTCCACAAACAGGGCCACCCACGAACTGGTTGACATCTGGTATGTTGGCTAGGCAGCCTGTCTGGGGCTTTTCCATGAACGTCTCCAGGTCAACTTGGCTACACATGCTGAATGTCCTGGGGAACCTGAAGCTGAGGGCAAGAGGTGTCTCCATCAGGAAGGGGCCACCTGACAGGATGTGGCCCCTTTCCACCCACATGCCCCACAACACCTCACCCAATGCTTTCCGTCATGATACAGCCACCGTCTTCTGGTGGTATGGGACAGTAGCAACCCTGGATGTTCTCATCATGGTTCATGCCCAAGTTGTGGCCCAGCTCATGGGCCATGGTGGATGCCACACCGATGGGGTTCTTGCTGTGGTCCTATGGGGACAACTATGTTCATTGTGTCCCCCTTTCCATCATCTTATTCAAATGCCCTCTGCCACCATAGGTACCCAGGGGAATGATGGTGCTTCCTGCCAACATCTTAATACATAAAACCAGGCATCAAATCTGTCCCTAGAGGAGGTGGCTATTTCATGGTGTCTTAGAGACCTGGGCTGACATCTCTTCCCATGTACATAGCTTAGTTGCCCAACCATCAGTCAGCCTGGCAAACCTGGGTGGGGGTTCCTTTCACCTGGTTCACAGCTCCTGAGTTCCGGGAGCACAGGGTAGACACCTTGGCCAGTCCAACAGTGGTTCCGATGAAGTCAATCCCCCTAGAAATAAGCATGGCATGTATATTCTGGACATGGCTCTTGACCCCTCCTCATAAACAGCTTTGCCCAGGTGTCCTGGCTGGAGAGATGCTAAGTGTCTCATGCTTGGCTCTGCTGCATTGTGGTAGGTATGTGTGCCTACTCACTCACGTGATAAGCTGCACATTGTCGTGTGGGTGCCGCCCCAGCAGGTCTTGTCCCCTCCAGGACAAGAAGTTTTCCAGTGTAACATTGGCATACGGGCTGATATAGAACTTGTCCCTGTTCCAGATCTCCAGGCCCACCAGGACTACACGAAAATTGAGTTCCTGATAAAGCTACAGAGGATGGGAAGCCCCCATGGTCAGGCCAGAACATGGAAGGCTGGCTAGAATGGCAGGGGTGAGAGGGTGTGGGGACACATAGACATTATATCCCATTCACCACTGGGAGGCACAGAACATGGGTGCTGGCCAGGTTTGAGCTCAGCTCAGAGCCTGAACCAGCCCCCTTCTTCATTGGTTGTCTTGCCCCACTTCCACCCTACCCAACTGCACCTCTTTTCCATACCCTGGACAACCTACCTTGTCCACGTGGTTTACTACCTCCAAGACCCGCTTGCGTACAGCCTCTCTGCTTCCCAGATTCTGGAACTGGAAACATGGGACCTTCAGATTGGGGCTGAGCTCATCCCAGCCCATCTAGCCCAACTAGCCTCTGTATCACACACCTCTTTGCTGTCTGTGACCACATAGAGTTCCACGTAGCGGGTTCCTCGGGGTACTGGCCAGTTCTGGGGAAGATGCCAGTCAGCATTTGGGGCCCTGATCCCAACCCACACCAGAGTCTAGTTATGTTGAGAGGCAAAGTCTAAGCAGCTTCAGTGAAGTGGACCTTCTTGGTGGCTGCAGGACTGAGCTAGGCCCACCTACTGGGCATGGGGCCTGCTCCAGGGCTGCAGACAGTGATGCTTAGGCCCAAACATGGAGCCTGTAGCTGGACTGATCAGCAGGGTTGAAGCTGCTTACCTGAGACTTAGACCCAAAGATTCCCAAGGTTCGAGGCCCCTGGTCATCCAGGTTGGTATTGTTGACCCCACAGGTCCCAGCCTTCTGTTGCAAATGCTTGGCCTGATACATTGCATGCTGCCCCTCTTCACCACCATCCAGGGGCTCGATCAAGTGGACAGTGGACCCCACCCGGAAAAAACCCCTAAGGGGAGAGCCAGATGAACAGTAGATATGGTCAGCTTGTTCTTACCTGCCCATATTGGAGGGCAGGTGCTCTAGTCTGTATCTATTACATTAGAACAGTCACTCCAACCCCAGCAGAAGACACCCAGGTGTGTGTATAGGAGGCAGGAAGGTATATGAGTTTGGCAAGACTGGTAATTCCTAACCAGGCCTGAGCAAGAGCCTCCACATTTCTCAAACACAGAACGGGAAAGAGATCTTTTTCCAAGTCTTGTGCTAAGGCCCTTTTTCTCACTGCCTCAGTTTACCCTTCTGTAGGGTAGGATATCCTGCCTGGGTCTACAGCACATACCTGAGGCCAGCACAGGTGCTGAGGCTGGCAGCTGAGCCCTGGTGCCCCTCCACATGACCTTGGTAGAGACAGTGGTCCTGAAGAAGAAGCAAGAGGAGTCATAGGGTCTTGCTGCCACGATCTCATTGGTCTGGGGAAGGCCGTCCTGGCCCCATACCTGCCCATGCAGTTGCTCCATCACTTCAGAGCCATTGGCAGCAAAGTAGGTCTCTGTGTAGCCTGAGCCCAGCAGGTCCCTGGAAAAGAACTACTGAAGCTTCTTGGTTCTTCCTCACCCTGGGCCTCCCCTGTAGCTGGGCCAGGATTCCACATGCAAGACCCCTGCACTCCTCACTGGGCTCAGGGATTGACCAAAGGGCCAGAATTTGCTCACCTGTTCTTCTGAAGGTGCAGGGTGAAAGTGTGCCCTCTGGCTCCAAGGACATAGCTCACATTCTCTGGGTATAGGCCCTGGATGAAAGTCCTGGGTGAGTGGCTTCTAGCTTCAGGCCAAGGCTCTAGGTAATGGCCAGGCCCCCAGAAGACCTTCTCCAAGAGACTTTGGGGACCATTAGTTTGAAGCAGGGAAGTAGGTGGCTGGGACCAGGCTGGCTATTCTAGTAGGGGAAAGGCCTCCCAGATGAAGCAGAAAGAGTTCTGTGGCCCCTCAGGCCATTTCCCCATCTGTCCACAATGATAACTGATATTCCTCTCAGAGGAAGTAAGGTGGGGATGGTAGCCCTAGTCAGGCGGTCCCTAAACCTAGGACAAGAAAGGAGGTTGGAAAAAGGTACATAAGCTCCTCCATTGCTACTGTCTCTTCAGCTGGCCTTCGTTATCAATCTCCTGAGGTTTCAGGGCCTGTACGTGCTACACATTCCATGACTCTTCACCCACACATGATGTGTACAACCTGCTGGCCCTGAGGACACCACCAGCTGGGTGAGTAAAAGCTTAAGTGGAGATGTTTCCTGGACACCCAGGCAATGACAGGGCCAGCAATCTTCCTGGCAGCCTACAGGCCATTCTCAATTCCTAGCCCCAAGAAATCCCAGACTGAGAGGAGTGTCAAGATACTCACATAGCCCTAGGGTGAGCAAGCTGCTAGCTAATCTGACAAGTCACTGCCAAGTGAAACTGGGGAGTGGCCTGGGCCAGCCCAAACTGCTATTCCTTTTCTGGGGTGAGAGGCCCCTTCAGGCTGGGTCAGCAGGTTCCAAAAGGAGTGAGGCAGTGGGTCTCAGAGCCTACCTACCTAGGAGGCCCCAGGCTCTGATTCAGGGTGGGGGCAGGAGGAAGGAAGCCAGTAAGCACAGGAGGGAGGGACTGTGATCATGCCCAGAAGCACAGACAGATTTAAGTCCTAGAGCTGTGGAGGCCAGCCCCCAGAATCTACTGGTCCTTTTACTGAAAGAGGCTGTATAATTAGTCTTGTGGGTAGACTTACCCAGTGGGAGGGCAGGGCTCTTCGGGAGCGGGGTTCAGCCAGGCGCTGAGGCCATACCACTTCATACTGCTCCACATGGGACAAATGGGGCCCAGGGGCAACTGCTGCAGGAGAAAGGGGATCAGCAGGCATATCAGGGGTGACAGCCTCTTGCCTCAGACAGCCTGCATATCTGTGTTCTTTGGGGGAAATCACCAGATGGCTTAGTGCTAGCAATAAGACCTGGCCCCATGGCCCAGGTAAGAGCTTTGTGCCTTAAACACCACCAGATCCATCATACCAGCCAGGCTGACTGAGCCTAGCACACCTGTGATAGTACCCAGAGGAATCTCTACCCCACCCACCCTCACCCTTCTTGAAGAGTCCACCTGGATCTACCAGGGAGAATGCACGCAGGCCCTGGGGTCTTTCTACCTGGTATCTAAAGTTGATATCTCCTTTAGTTATATAACCAAATGTAATTGGTAAATTAAGCTCACACACACACCACCACCACCACCACCAACAGCAACAAGAACAAAAAATGGCCATTCTCTTCCCAAGAGCATAAAACTGTGTCTGACAGATCACAGATCCTCTGTGGGCAGGTCCAGTTTGAAGACCACCTATCCCAGAGAATCACTCCTTTTTTTTTGCAGACAGAGGGCAAACTTCCAGGACTGAGAAGCAACAGAAAGGCTACCCTAGTCAGGGGCCTCCCAGGACAGAGGTACTCTAAGCCCTCCAGTGGGAGACAGGGCCCCATGTGGCTAGGGAGCCCAGGCCGCTGCCCTTCTAAGATACTGTCCCTACGAGGTTGGAGAGCTGTAGTTGTGTGAGCAAGATGCCACAGTTGAATCCTGGAGCCTAGGGCTCCTCAAGCAGTCAGGGAAGCTGCCTTGTGATTGTCATCCCTACTGTGGCACTGTCCCTGTCACTAGCTCAACAGAACCCTCCCAAGAGTCAACATCTGTTTCTTTTGAAAGATCCTGACTCTGACCTCTGCTGTATTTCCTCTGTCCTCAGAAACCAACTTATGGGGGCCCACATGACTCACGAAGGGTCACCACATCCCTCATCCTGAACAGGTTCCATGAAACCAGCAGATCACTCACCCCCTGTCCATAGGGCACTGAACAGCCAGAGATGGATCATGATGGGATCTTAAGTGCACATGTATCCTGGAGACTCCACAAGGTACTCTTATCTAGAGCACTGGTCTGCTACTTCAGAGAACCCCACTGGGTTGGCCAATCACTCAGCAGCAGGGCGGGGCAAGGCAGGGCTGGACAGGGTGAGACACAAACACGTGGGGGAGGCTTCTGCTTAGAACTCCAGTGCAGCCAGTTGCCACATCCCCTCTTCCGTGGCTTCCCCATATCCCTATGTCTCCTGCTGCTTCTCCATAATTTTGGACCAAATGAATGGGGGCTGGAGGAGATGAAAGGACCAACTTGGACAACTCCTTCCAATTCCATATCCTCCCAGTCCTGGAGAGCCTGGGTGTGCTAACTGGGTAGGGTCTAGCTAGAGGGAAGTTACATTTAGAAAGGAAATGACTTGTGAGACAGTCTGGGGACTTTTAGGAGGCGGGGCTTTCTGATTTCCTTGGGGAATAGAGAGCATTAGGCAGGGACAAGAGGTAGCACAGATCAGCCTGTGGGAGATGACATTTCCCAAAGCCCCTGCCCAGTTCTACCAGGTTCCTGAGGCCTCACCAGGGAAGGAAGTGTAGCAAGAAGGAACCATACAGGTAGGAGTACTGACTCAGGTAACCAGGTAGGTGGCCTGACCCTCTACTGGGGTCCTACCCTCTCCTCACTGTGGAGTCCTGAGGGGCCAGGCTTTCTGTAGAGCACTGGATTCCGCTGTCCCAAAGGGTAGGGCTGCCCCAGAGCCAGCGTTTGCACCACTCCCACCATAGTCTGGCTTCCAGCTTCTCCGGGTGGGTCTATTACCATGGGGACCCAGGCCTCCTGGGGCCATGGCAAGCCTGTTTATCCTTTGTGGCAATGTCCCCCCACTGAGATCCAGACTTGTGTGCACAGGTGTGGGTGGACCTCACTGCCTCCCCAGACCTACCGGATCAGGAGCAACCTGGGGGAGGGGAGACACCTAGTACACTAACAGGGCTGGCAGCTCAGCTAGAAGGGAAGACTGGCAAAGCTGGGCTGGAGTCTTGGACTGTATCAGGAAGACTATGTCTAAGGGTCTAAACTGGAGCACAAATGATACTATTACCCCACTGCCCTTGTGAATGGAATACAGCAGTGGTAGTCCAGAGGCTCAGGTGTCTCACTGGCAACCTGCTGCCTGAGGCAGCAGCCCAGAGTACCTAGGTCTAGAGCAGATCCCAGGCTGCAGTGAGCAGCAGATAGAGCACCTGGGTACATCTGGCTTCTGCCCATACAGGATTTTAAATACCCCTAGTTTCCTTCCTCTTCTTTGCTCCTACATGGCCAGTTAGGTGACAGTGAAGGTTCAAGGCCATGTATTATCAATCACATTGTAAGCAAAAACCAAAAGCTGCTGCCAATATGCACCACTTTCTGATAAGTTAGCCCAAACATCCATCTTTATGTGGAAGTGATGCAGGTGGAGCTAAAGAATAGTGATTTAGTCAAAAGCCAGGACCAAGTGGGGTCAGTCTTGTCCTGTACCAAGACTCAATCGGAAACAAACCACTCCATCATACTAGACAGACTTCAGCCAGCTTCACCCAGTAGGTGCTATGGATGGCTTGGGAGTTGGGCTACCATCCTTTAGGCTTGCCCCCATATCCTGGCCACCTGCAAATCCTAGAGCTATGAGAGGAAGGCCAGGGACATGGGTTTCTGGGCCCCTGGATGCAGGTCAGTAAGCTCCTCTGCATTTATGACACCAGGTTGGCAGATTGTTTACTCAGGCAAGCCTGCACAAGCTGCAGACTAACAGCAATGGTATGTGGCTAGAGAATACATGCTCCAGGGGGGCTTTGCTATACTCTGCCAGCCAGCCAGGGCTGGGCCACCCACCCATTTCCTATCCCAGAGATCTGCCTCTGGTTCACTTCATCACACTTCCCAAGCCTATCTTGAGCAGGTGTTTAAAACTGGATTCATACCTTTAGCCCCAGCACTTGGGAGGCAGAGGCAGGTGGATCTCTGTGAGTTCAAGGCCAGCCTGGTCTACATAGTGTGTTCCAGGCCAGCCTGGGGTACAGGGAAACTCTCTCAAAAAGACCCCCCCCCAAAAAAATCCCCCAAAACCAAAAACTGGATTCTGAAAAGAACACATATATTCAGTAGGAAGGGGTAGCTTTGCTGGAAGAATGGCCACAACAGGCTGCCATGGCAAGACAGTGTCACACCAGGAATATTGTATGTATTGAATGTATTGCCCACCCCAGGACTGAAGCAGAAAGCCACTGAGACCAGGCTACAATATAACTTGTCAGTTGATCTACTGAGTAAATTCCACAAGGCAAGGCCAGCATCTTATGGAGAAAGGGAACCCAAACCCTGGTGGAGACAGGAGAAGGAGCTCCCACCTCCCAGCTTAGCCTAGGTTCAAGGCCACTTCTCAAAGTATGCCTTAAGGGGTCTTGGTGGAGGGCTGGGCACTCTGCCCAAGGTCAATGCCTTCACAGCAAGAAACAATGCTGCCCCCTAGTGTCCCATAAAATGAAGCACCAAGGAATGCAAAGACCAGCACAGGCTCCAGTGCTCCCCATGTGGCATCTTCTAATTATCTTGCTTCTTGCACAAATGCAGTGCATTTTTTACTCTTTGAGGCCAAAAATTACAACCCCTTACACATACACACACAAAAAGAGGACTGTATTTTAAAGACAAACAGTTAAACCTGTAAAGTCCTCACTCTGAACGGGCAGCTTCTATTTTTTTTTTATTTTAATATTCTTAGTAAATCATGTGTGTGTGTGTGTGTGTGTACATGTATGAAGATTTGTGTGCAGACATACACGGACATGTGCGCTTGTGCATGTAGAGATCAATGTCAGGGGTCTTCCTCTATCATGTTCCACTTTATTTTTTGAGATATGGTCTTTCCTTGAACCTGGAGCTTGCTGATTTGACTAGACTCTGGTCAGTAAGCCCCAGGAATCTACCTGTTCCCATCTCCCCAGCTCTGAGGTTACAGGAGTCTGACATTGCAACCGGTTTTTTATGAGGGTGCTGGGAATGTGAACTCAGATCCTCATACTTGCCAAGCAAGCACTTGGATATGGCTCAGTTAGAGCACCTGCCTAGACTCCTTCAGTGAGAAGTTGGGGGTGTGGCTCAATGGTATTATGTTTGCATAGCATTTGAAAAGCTCTGTGTTCAACCCTTTGGACAGCTTCAGAAAAGAACCTAGCACCTTGACAAAGGAACACATTAAGTCAAGATAAATCAGTCCATATTTGAGCAGTAACAACACAAGACACTCATGTTTCAGGAACATGGGATTTAAAAAGTGAGACCATCTGCATGGTAGCACCTCTGGCATCCAATCCATGCTGCAGCCAGGAGTTCACTGTGCTGTGATGGCCACCCTGGGTACTGGTGCTGGGGGTCCCCGTGGGATGGGCACTTGGGGGACAGCCTTCTGACTCCTCTCTGCAGACAGACGTTCCAGGCGCTCCGCATAAAAGCCATTGAAATCCAGCCTTCAGAGGGAAAGAGGAGTTGGGGGGAGGGGAGGAGGCTGGGCGGCGGGGACGACTCTAGGATAGGATAGTCCTGCCCAAGCTGATGAGACACACAGGACCTGCCCTGTGTTGCCCATGTGGCAGGCCCATTTCTCCCAATCATGTAAGGATCAATGACAGACAACCCAGGGCCTTCTCCAGGCAGAGCAAGGGATATGCTCCACCTGCCAGTGTATGGGTAATTGTAAGTCTCAGCCCAAAAGGGCCTTATTGCACCATGAATATGAAGATTAGGATGTAAAACATATGAAAACTAAAATCCAGATGGCAGTGCTCCTGAGTGCTTCAGCAGGATCATCTCCAGGGGACAGTCACTGATGTAGACTCATACCTCTCCTTGTAGCCCCTAGATGTTGGGCTCCCACCACCCTGGCATCTGGCAATGGAAACTTGAGGGTGCCCCAGGCCTAGGAAGACTGGCAACTAACTTTCAGTGCTAGTGATCCCAGAAACTAGGACATTGGAAGGTGACACAGGGCACTAGATGGTCCCAATGTACAAATGGGTACTTTTCCGAGGGCAGTGCAGGGACAGCACACCTTTTCTGGATGAAGCTGGAGCCCCTTCCTCACCCCACTCCACTAATAAGCAAATACTTCCTCACCAGAGGATTCTCAGGTGGGACCTCTTCCTTCCACTGGCTGGTCAGGGTAAGGTATCTGACTACTAGGGGCTGTGGGAAGTGAGGGCCATGTTGAAAGCAGATGGCAGGCCTGGCCTTCAAATTCAGGAAGGGCATCACTAACCTGGAGATGACACTGGCCATGCCATGTTCACAATCACTGGTGCTATAGACGCTTAGCCGGGCCAACAAATCAAGCAGATGAGCAGAAAAGTTCTTGTCAAAGTTATTGATAGTGGCCTCAAAACCAGAGGCCAGTTGAGGAGTGTCCACATGCTCTGACAGGTGCTGAAAACAAACCCCAGAGGTTCAGTGTCAGCTGCAAGGCAGGAGTTTGGCCTCTTCAGAGCCACAGACACTTCTCCTTTTCTTTCCCTTGCTTTTCGTTGTTTTATTTTTTGTCTCTTTTTTCTTTTTGGAGCTGAGGACCAAACCCAGGGCCTTGCACTTGCTAGGCAAGCACTCTACCACTGAGCTAAACCCCCAACCCCTCGTTATTTTATTTTTAAAATAGGATCTTGTTACACAGCTCAGGTTGGCTTCAAACTTGTGACTCTCCTGCCACAAGTGCTGGGATTAAACATGTGCCACCACTTCTGGCTGTCTCTCTTGAGACAGAGTTTCGTCCAGGCTGGCCTTGAATGACTGATCCTGCTGCCTCAACCTCCCAAATGTTGGGATTACAGGTACATGCAACCAAACCTAGCTTTCTTCATTTTTTTGAATACTTTAATTTTTAAAGAGATTTATTTATTTACTTATATGTATGCATGTGTCTGTGTGTTATAAGTGCCTTTGGAATCTAGAAGAGAGAATCAGATTCTCTGGACCTGGAGTTACAAGTGGTTGTAAACCATTTGACATGGGTGCTGGGAATTAAACTTTGGTCCTCTGAAAGAGCAGAAAGTTTTCTTAATCACTGAGCCATCTTTCCAGCTTCCAGCCTCCCTTATTTTTTAATGAAAGAAATTCTGAGCTAGCTCTGTGTTATAAAAGGTAGGAAGATGGGGCACCATAAACTCTTCTGAGAACATAGCATATGGAGAAATACCGGGGAAAGGAGGCCCAGCAGACTGGAGCTTTTCTAAGCGCACAGCATTGAGACCCAATAGTGAGCCAACATATGCTCTCTCTGCAGGTCAGATTCTGGGCTAACCCTAACCCTGGCCTCTAATAAACAACGGGAATGAACCTTGTCTCCTATTATCCCCGACTTCTGGTACCCGCATACTCCCAGTCTGTCTCCACTCTGCCAATCCTGCCTATGAGTCCTAAAGATTGCACGGACATCTGTACTAACGGACTTTTCTTTCTTTCTTTTTCCCTCCCTCCCTCCCTTCCTCCCTCCCTTCCTTCCTTCTCTCTCTCTCTCCTCTCTCTCTGTCTCTCTCTCTTTGTCTTTTTGAGACAGGGTATCCCTGTAGCCCCAGCTGTCCTTGAACTCACAAAGATCCACCTGCCTCTCCCTCCCAAGTGCTGGGATTAAAGGCGTGCGCTACCACGCCTGGCCCCTAACTGACTTTTCTAATCAGGGATGAGTACTATGCGCACATTAGGGCAGCCCAGGCCCACCGCACACAACACTGTTGTGCAGGTGACTTAGCCACACCTTGGATCACAGAGGGCTAGATGGATCAGAGTGCTGAGAAAAAACAAGACTCTAGTGGCATATTTGGAACGTAACTTCAGGAATCTTTCCTATCAATGGGGGTAACAATAAGGTGATAGTTTTCTTTTCTTTTTGTTTTTTTGAGACAGGATCTCTCTGTGGCCCCAGCTGGCCTGGAACTCACTATGCAGACCAGGCTGGCCTTGAACTTCACAGAAATCTACCTGCCTCTGCCTCTGCCTCCTGAGTGCTGGGATTAAAGGCATCTGCTACCACACCTGGCAGAAGGTTTCCTTTTGTTTTTTTGAGACAGGATCTGGTCTCAAACTCATTATGTAGCTGAGGGTGGTCCTGAACACCTGACCCTCCTGCCTCTACTTTCCAAGTTCCAGGATTATGGATATAAAGTACCATGCCTGGTTTTGTAAATTTTTGTTGGTTTGTCTTAAGGTTTGTTTTCTTAAGGTTTTTAATGCTAACCCTGTGTCATAGCTGACTAAAAGGAAGGTTTTTCTGAGTGAACCCTGAGGCCACATACCTTCCTGGTAGTCTCCTTCCGTGGGCGCTCCTCGGTCTGCTCAGCCTCTGGGGGTGGCTCCTGCACAGTACCCTGCTCCAGTGCCAGACAGCCTAGCTCATTATCCAGTTTCATGCTCTGTGTAAATTTCTAAGGGTGGGGTCATAAGGAAAGGCTACAGTTAGCTACAGTCACAGTGCTCTACAGAAGACAGCCAAGTATCTGAAGGTGTACCCACCGTGTTGGACTGTCCCAACCCACAGACACTGGGACACAAGGCTGTAGACAAGATGCTTTTTTAAAAAAATATTTTATTATTTTTATTTTATGTGTATTCCTGTATTGCCTGCATGTAGGTAAGTGCACCTGTGTCATGCAATGCCCTCAGAGGTCAGAAGAGGCTGTCGGATTCCCCTGGGACTGGAGTTATAGACAGTTGTTAGCTGCCATGTGGGTGCTGGGATTCGAACCCATGTCTTCTGTAAGAACAACCAGTGGTCCTAACCGCCGAGCCATCTCTCCAGCCCCAACAAGATGTTAATTCTATCTACAGCATTTCCAAGTCTAACTTTCTCAGTGATTATCAACTGATTTTCCTAAAAACACACTTGTTTTATGATGTTTCTCTGTGGGAATTCAATACGGCCCCTAAGCATCTAAGGAATGGGGCTATACAGCCCCTGTCCTCTCTATAAAC